CAAACCTGCTCCGGCCGGAGCCTCCCCTTCCTCGGGGTGGGAGTGGGGGGAGCCGCTCACCCTCTCCAGGCTGACCTCGAGTGTCCAAGTTGTCAGATGCTGCGCAGCGCTGGGGAACGGCTCCGCAGGCTCCTTGGCTTTTTATGGTAAGGAATGTCTTTGCAACATGTTAATTAAGAGCGGTGATGGCAGCCAGCACCGTCCGACACTCGCACGGTTGGGCACTTCATGCCCCCGCCAAAAGCTGAGTGCGGAGCCGTGAGCGATGCTGAGACTGCAGGAAGGGCCACGAATCCCACCCAGGGCTGCCCCCCAGCATTGGGGCTGAACCCCCTCTGCCTCCCCCTTTGCTTCCTCCAAGCCCCTTGCAGGGTTTAGCACCCTCCCCTCGCTGGAGACAGGCTGGAGGACGTGTCTCTCATTCCTGGGGTTTTGGGGCTGGAGCCCCATTTCTCCATTTTTTTTATTTGCAGCAGTGGGCCAAGCTGGGGGGACACGCCTGGGTCTGGCTGTGCTACCTGCACTCGTGGCTTTGTTGGCACTGACCAATATTTTGGGGCAGCAAAAGGGGTTTGTCAAACCTCACTGGGACGGGGACCAGCTCCGGGGTCCCTGCAGCCACCCAGGGCCGCTGCTGCAGTTCGCAGCTGGGAGCCACGTACGGCAGAGACGAGGGCAGGGGGCTCCAAAGCCTCAGCCCCCACCCCTCCCTTGGCTGCCTCGTACTGCGGAGTAAATTTGGCAGATTAAGTGTTTGAAAACAAAACAAATCACGAACCAAAATAACTTCTTCAACCCCGGTGATAAATCCGTGTGCAGGACAGCTCGTGCTAACCCGAAGTTTCAGCCCAGTGCCCCTCGTGTCTCTGCCCGTTGTTGGGCTTGATGGGAGCTGGGCTATTTATTTTCCACTCCCAGTTCAATCTGCTTTTATTAAACTTTAACTGGAACACGGGGACTTACAATGGTGTTTAAAATAAAACCTCCCAAGGGGACACCCCGGGAGCCCGTCCCACCCAGCCGGGAGGGTGCTGAGCAGCGACAGGTCACGCTGTTCTTGCCTTTTCCATCTGGGCCTGATAGTCTCTGTCGTTTGGGGAGCACATCGCTTCCCGCTGTGGTTTTGTGTTGGTAGCAAAACCTTGTGCTTGCCCTTGAAGGGCTCATCGAGGCACAGGCTAGGCGGGAGGGTGATGGTTTCATCCTCAGACGAGCAGAGGCAGTGGCAGATAAGCCGCAGAGGTGCTTTTTACCTTTTCCTCTATTTCTGTAGCATCCTGTAAATGGTGTAATGATCCAGCAGCTGGCACGGGCTTCACTCTCGCTGCCTGCAAACTAACAAATATCGATGGATGGGTGAGGATCCATGAGAAGAGGATGGCTTGGATGTGTCATGCTGCAGAGAGCCACAAAAGCCTGGACCTCGCAAACATCAAACAGAGCCTTGCTGCTCCCGCGTGAGGGTGAGAGCAGTCGTGTGAGCCATGGTCTGTCTTGGAGGGGTGCTGGAGTGCTTGGAGGGGTGCTCCAGGGGGTGCTGGAGGCAGGACTGAGGTGCAGTGCCAGTGTTACAGCGATGTTTGGGCTCCTCAAAAAGACCCAAAGCTGCAAATCGAGCAGCTGCCTGCGGCAAAGCTGAGCCGAGAGGGAGCGGTGAGCAGTGATGTTGTTGCAAACGTGCGTGGTTTTGATGAGCTGTTGTGAGGAGGTGACCTGTCCCCTTTCCTCCTCTGGCTCATAGTCACGGCTCTAAGCTGCTGTTGCTTTTTTGAGCCTCCTTTCCCATGCAATGCAATACCTGGGAAACAAACTGAGTTTACAAAATCCACGGTAATCCAGCACTTTTCTCCTGTCGGTTGTTGTGAACCTGCTTTCGCCAGGGTGGGACTGCGGGATTCACTGCCTGCACAGCCAGAGGCTGTCACCCGGGGTCAGAGCCACCCATCAGAGTCGTCTCCCTCCTCCTCGGCTGTTTCGTGCTGGCCATGCTGCTGCCGAAGGATCCAGCATGGCTGTGAGAAGGACCCGTCCCCAGAGACCCAGCCTTGCTGCTCGGAGTCATCCCTCAGCCCTGGAACAGCGTGGCACGGGGGCTTTAAGAGGTGGGTGGCCGTGCTGTGGCCCCGGCTTTTCCCACGGCTGGCTCAGAGGTGGCACCAGGAGTGTCCCCGGGGCTGGGCAAGGAGTTCAGGGCGCAGCCACTGCCCTCCTTCTGCCTAGTCCTGCTCCCCACGGGTCCCCCAGGGCCGGGCACTGTGTGCTGGGTCACGGAGTAGCAGCAGCCCCGGTACAGCCCCAGGGGTTCGCTGCTCCTCCGGGTCCTTCCCCCTGACACCCCATGGTGAAATGAGATACCCAGGTACCAGCCCACTTCATTTCCCTCACCCCTCCCAGGGCTCTTTCTGGGTGGATTTTGAGCCCCTCACCAGGGCACAATGCATGGATTGAGGTTTGCTGGCTGGCGTGTACATCTGTGAGTCGGTTATTTTTATTTTCTTGTGAATGCTATAAAAAGATGAACTTAGAAGCAACTCCTGTCCTTACTGGGAACTCAGCCCTGCATGAAGGGGAACAACCGGGGCTTGAAAGTGAACACTGGCATCGTGGGGGCTTCCTGCAGCGTGACCTGGGCACTGTCACCGTGGTGCCCCGCGGCATCTCAGGTCGAGATCTGTGTTGCAGCCAAGCGTGAAAGGAGACCAGGTTGGGGGTGGGGGGGGGAGGAGGCGGGGCA